ACTGTGGGGGTAGCGCTGAACATCATCGCATGTGTGTGATTACGTCAGGATTCGAAATCATTGTGTGTACCATTCAGGCACATGGGATGGGTAGATTGTTGTTTCAGTTAGCAAACAATGAATGAGGATCTTGAATTGTTTAACAGTTTTATGTGAGTGGCTTCGTTTTGTAGGTCTTTGTGATAGTGAGTCAGTCCTCCAACAACAACGCTAGAGGCATGCTTGACCATTGGAACACCTAGGCCAGTGTTCGGATGGTCTTCTGTCTGAACCATACTTGCGGCGCACTTAAGCGGTGCGCTGTGCACCACGCGCTCACGGGTGATGTGTGCGCACCGCGCACACTGAGCGCGCACTGAGTGCGCTGGAGTACGGTCAAGTGGCCCCCATGCCCGCGCACCTGCGGATGTGCGTTTCTTGTTTTTTTTTTGTGTGTGTGTGTGCCGTTGATACAGGCGTTTGTCTGGTGCGCCACGACGCCATTCTCCTGACACTATCGGACCGAACAAAACACCTGTATCAACGGACACTGTGGATTCTTGATGGAGGGCGTTTTGTTCATCCCGATAGGCCCGTTGCTTTTCCTTTTTTTTTTCCTTATTTGATTTTGTCTTATTTAAGAAACGGTTACAGCCTGTTTACTGATAGCGGGGTTGTCAAAGCCCCGGCCCCAGGGGTCCGGGGCAGCCCCGGGGGTCTGGTGCGGTGGTCCCCTGACCCTGGCCCGGGAGGGGCCAAAAAAAAAAAAAAAAAAAAAAACAGGGGGATGCGCAGCGGAAGCCTGCACCCCCTGGGCCTAACTGTGAAAATGCAGTTTTGGCCCCACCTCGGAACCCCCCCCGGGGCTACACCCTCCCCTGGTGAGCCCAGTTTGCCCTGGGCGCGGGGGTGGGGGTGCAGTGGGCGGGGGTGGATGGCTGTCTCTTATACACATCTAGATTTTCTGATACCTGCTGCGCTTTCCTTTTTTGCTCCGACCTTTTCAATCCCTGAGGTTGGTATGTTTTGGGCCATATAAACTGCTTGGCATAGTTC